TATCCCGGAATGACATATTTTAGCTACTACAGTGAGAATGGAGATATATTATTTTTAGGATATGACACCACATGAGAAATTATGGGGATACCATTATATTAGTGCTACCCGCAAACTTTGTCAAATATTGATAATTCTTTGTAAGGAGATTTGGTACTCACTGATCATTTAAAATATAAAATTACAGCCTAAAATACAGAGGAGTGGGCCAATTAGGTTGAAAAACGTGCCCAGGATCGTTTAAGGTGGAGTGACATTCAATGGAGTCTTTCCGAAGCTTGGGCAAATTTTGTTAGGAACATTTTCTACTCACTGATCATCCAAAATATAAAATTACAGCCAAATACCGAATATTAAGGGGTTATCCGCATAATTGGGCCAATATGGATAATTTTAAATAGAGAGATTTTCTGTTGAAAAATTGTTAAAAGAGAACAACTATAAAAAACAGCAAAATTAAAAAAAAATCCGTCAATAGCATGTATTAATGTTCAAAATTACCGACACTCGAGTTGTAAAACGGGTTAAGAACCTCAACATACCGAAAATTAAACGGTTCACAGGAATCCGTTATGTCAAACTCTAAAGAAAAATTCGGTCAAAGTCTTTCTAATACCGAAAATGGGGCGGAACCTGTATGTAGGAGGTGTATCAAAACTTTAACATAAATTTAATATTTTACACAAAAAATGTGTTTTACCCTTCAGTATCCCGGAATGACATATTAAAGCTACTACAATGGGAATGGATATATATAAATTTTTGGTAGGAAGATTTAACACCACATTGAACAATGGGCGATACCATTATATATGCGCTAACCGGAAACTTGGTAGGAAGATTTGACACCTTTATATGGAAGCTACCTCAAAGTATTGGCCAATACTGAAAATTTTTAGTAGGATTCATTCTACCAAATTAAACAACCAAATTCAAATTGCTGCTGATTAGATTTAAAAACGTGCCCAAATCCCCCACAGCATCGAAAAATGTGGAAAACTATTATACATGTAGTGAGATTTTCTGCCCAATAAGTATCACTAATAGTAAATTATAAGCAATTCTTTTAACTATTGGGGGCACCGTTATATGGGATCTACCCTAAAAAGTGAATAATATGAGCAGTAGTAATGTATGTGCAATTTTCAAATCTCTACCTTAAATAGTGGAGGGTAAAAAAGCTAACTTAACATTGGGCTACCGTTATGAGAAAGTCTTATAAATATATTTGGGAAAATGTTATTAATTCCGGAAGTCAAACTTATATGTTTAATAAATTTAATTTTTTCCCACGAATTCAAAATGTATATCCATCGAAACTTTAGAATGCAAAAATAGCAATAAGATATTCAGTACTGTAATGTCTGCTCTGATAAATATCAAGGTCCAGGATCTGTACACTCCAGTTTATGGTGTAAGGTATAAATATTGCTAGGCAAGTCAACGTTTGCCGGGTCCGCTAGTAATTAAATAAATATAATCAAGAAATTAAAACAAATAACTTATACGTGGGACTTATCATAGACATTTTTAAAAATGCTTTCAAATCGAATCTTTTTAAAATTGTAATAACTTTGTATAAATTGAAACTTAAATTTAATATAACAACTTTTCCGTTCACCAATTTTCTTCTATTTGCCCGTGTCAAAAAACAACAACCATTAACTTTTATTTGCCAGAGAACGGCACATCTGATTGGTAGTTTTTCATATATGTGGGTAAACGTAAACTGTTGTTGGCTTTGTAACAATACAAAGTATACCTCACACACATATGCCAAATATTCATATTCTTTTTACTTTTTCCTTCGCTTTATACATTTTTGATGTTGCCATAACAAAAAGAAACCAAATATTGCAATATTACTAAAATGACCAAAAATCGTCAAATCGTCATTTTTCAATTTTTGACCAAAAAATCGTCAAAATGACGATAAATCGTCAAATCTGGCAGCCCTGCATGTGTTTTGTTATTCTACACACATTAATTCGTTGTGTGTTTACTTCTTTTATGATATTTTTGTTTGTTGTTGTTTTAACAGAAATTTTATCGTTCGTGAATTTTTCGTACAATGCGAACATTCGCGAGAGATTGGAAATGTTTGTTCATTCATTGTAAATTTATCATTCGCGATAAATTGAAAACAAATTTTTCATTCCTGTTGTCTGTTTATCCAAAAATTCAGTAAAATAGAGTCAATTGAGCGGGCAAGTTTGACAGTACAGCAACAAACTTACTGGAGTTTACTGAAAAAATGTTTGCAGAAGGATATTGCAAAGTCAGCCATTTTTGGATCAACTGTTTTATGACCAAACACAAACATTATTCAAAACATTTTTTAATTTGCAAAGTTCAATTTGAAATTGTACAAAAATTATTGTTTTACCCCATCCGAACTATAAATTCATCCCTCAAAACGTGTTGCTCCATTTGTATTATCCAAAGCCATCAGCTTTCACTCTGCCCCCAGTTTCTAAAACATTCGTTTAAGAACGAATTCTCGATTGTTAAGGCAAATAATTTTTGCATAATTTGTTTGCCTCGTGGCCATGTACTTAAAAACTGCAAAAGCAACAGGCATCTCCTAGGCAAGTTCCCTTAGCGTAGACCGTAGAGTGCAGATGCCACCGAGCGGTGGTTGTTATTATTTTCTTCCCATGGGAATATGTAAATGTATCAGTAAAGGGCAGCCGATCCTCAGCGATCATCTGTGATTGCATGAACCGCAGCGTTCACTTGTATTCTAACCTTAAAGTCATCTAGTCGGTTTACAAAGGTAAATTTGTTTATACTCTCGAAAAGAACAATATAGCTTAAAGAAACTTAGAATAATATAATTACTTTTGTGATTTATTTCCTTTGTATTTTCTTTCTATTTCCTACACCAACAAGCGCCTATTACACCAATTACTTCTTGATTCATCCCGGACCATCACAACCCATCCATCATACACGGCGAGGAAATTTGTATCTAACGATAGCAAATGGTATTGATTTAGTGAATAGTAATATGGAGATCACTATTGATGTATAATGTTAAGGTAAGGCAGCGGTATAAATGCAACCAAATTTTAGGCATTTAGTGGATAATGCATTTTTTAAGAAATAATCGAAGATGAATGTGTCTTGAAGTCGAAATATTAGAAATAATTAAATTTTAAGTAATTATAGAATGTAAACATTTTGTCTCTAATGTTTCACCATTAAAACCGAATCCATAATATTATTTACCAGATGCAATTAAATAATAGAACTATGATAAATCAATATTTATTTGAACATTATAATCTTCAAACTTTGTATTATTAAGTGATAATTATAATTATTAAGTTTATTCACGCAAGAAATCCATTGACGATATAGTCTTGGGCTGGCGTTGAGTGATAATCATTAAATGACGTTCGCCTTTTCATTCCCTTCCATTGGTAGCTTCAGCTAAATTTGTAAAAATAGAGTTAATAAAAAGAGGACAACGTGAGTTCAGGCTGAAAATAAAAACACATAAGACACATATTAATATTGAATTAATGCACAAAAAAAGAAAGATCAATGAATTCTACGAATCCTATATTTCATTACGTTTTCATTACGTATTATTTAAATTACAATTTAAAACTTTATATATATTGGATTTAATTTGGCACCGTGAGTGCACGTCGTTTAGAAAATATCCTTCCAAAAAGTTGTCTGCGTAGGTCACCGGACCATGGTCCAACGTTGAAAAAATGTATTAAGGATATTTTGTATTCATATAAGTCGTAGATATCAAATTGCGAAAAAATCGTGCGGAGACTAAATTCTTTTCAACATTCCAAATTGCATGGTCGTTTGTATTGGGGCTATATGAAAACAAGGTCCCAGAGACCCAATTTCCCATATCATGTCACATAAACCAATTTTGTGGAGTAAAAAAACTATTATTTTTATATTTTCATTTTTCCCATATTGGAAATGTTTGCTGTTTTGATAGTTCCGTGAAAAAACTGGAAGAAGTATGCTCCTTTGGTTAGAGACCTTTCTCTCTATGTGTCCGAAAGTTGGTCCCAAAGTAGTTCTTCTATCATAAGCATCCGTAACTGATAATGTAGTGCATCCCACGTCAGATGCATGCTATTCACATCACAATAGTCGGCTGTCTCGTTTGGCGAAATTCCAACGAATAAGTTTTTGGATGTTTGAATTTATAATCTTCAGAATGATGTTCTGTCAGTAAAGTTGTTACTGATATTATTTTTAAATTGAGACAAGCGGTCGAAATAAGAGAATTTCCGCTGAAGAATTGCAGTTTTCTCCTGGCATTTGAAGTATTGTCAATGCATTTATAATTTTCAAATTTTTCTCTTCTGCATCTTGAAGACTTCTATATTTTTCTACGTTGTCATTCCACCGATAGCTCTCATATGGTAATGACACGGAGGCTTATTAGGTCCAGATTTACATATAACTCTCATACATAATTTTGCTCTATTTCATACAAATGGTACATCAAATAATCCAAGTCTGCCCGATCGACATACAATTTTTCATAAATTTCAGAAAGTTGTGTGTATAATTTTTTTTGTTCAAATATCTATGTAGGTCACAAATTTACAACCGACATGTTATCGATTCGACAATTGAATTGGAGCTGCTGTCTGTGAAATTTCAATTTTATTTTATCGCAAGATATCTTTGCCGGAACTCTTAAATATAAAAAGTTAAAAATTTCTTCGGTTGCAATAGTAGTGTCCAGACATTAAACAATAAAAGGATGAACATTTGATAATTTTTCATTCTAATTTTTAGACCACTTAAAATCACCCTACCTGTGCAGATAAACAGTACCAATATAAAGACAAATATATACAAAATATACATACAGTCGAAATCGCTTATAATAACAATCACGAATAACTCTCACATATAATATTTCAGAGCCTCAAATGTTTTTGAATTTTTAAGGAGGTGAAAAGTATACGCAATCATGACATGCTGGTAGTAAACACAGTAAAAGGAACACATTAATTGATTAGAATAACACAAGTTGATCTATATACATATACATATGTATTGTTTATTAGGGATTTATTAGTACATTTCATAAAAAGTCCCAGAAAATACTGACATTCCAAATTGTTGTCATTGGCACTGGATGGCGGTGCAGCAATTAGTTTTGCTGTTATGGCTTCTTCTTGAGCTTTTCCCAAAACAGGCGGTATAATAACACGGAAAACGTCCAATTCCATTTCTAAATCGACAGTAAGAATAATAATAATTATTATCCGCATTCAAAATATTTACTTGTATTCATCATGTATATGTATATTGGATTCAGTTTAGAGGTGAGTATTACAATTACTACAATATTAAAGTTATGACACTCATTAACGTTTCAGTTCACATTGATCAATTATCAATCATGTTCGGACAAGCATTTGATTAACCCGTTCATACAACACTATTTTCAAATTATGTCATCGTTTATTTTTTCAACCCTTTTGTTTCTTGTTTTATACCAAAATTGAACTTACAGGCGTGCATTACCTATTGATCTTTCTTTATCCAGATTATAGTTAAAACCTAATTTTAATGAGGTTTTTATAATTCAGTGTTGAACAACGAATGAGAGAGCGAACAACGCCCGAGTGTAGCTGCGCAAATTATTTACCAGCTTCCAAAGGGTATCGGGGAATAGATAATACACCTACGGATTTCAGAATGGGGTACGCAAAATAATCTTCCTGATAATTTCGAAGTTTTCGTGAGAAATCACAAGGGATCTTATTTTAAAAGATATATATTAGGTTGGGGAAAATAAATTAATTTTTTTCGCAGATAGCGTACTGATGGATTTCTCGTAAAGTATCGATCATTTCGCAGTAAAAAAATATTTTGCTGTTTTTTGTTTGGTGCATTCAGTTGTGAGTTACAGGGTGTTAAAAATGGAAGTGGACAAAGAAAAAAATCAGTACATTTTACAGTTTTTCTTTGACAAAGGCGAAAATGCAAGCCAAGTGGCTAAAATTCTGACTGTAACAGCCAATTATGTGCATCCGCCATACAGTCCGTATGTACTTGGCGTAAATGTGTGGACAAAATCCGCGACCGAGCTTAACCCTGATTTCATCCCAATATTCCATTCAAGTTTTCAGATTACAAAATAGCAGAAATTGTATTGAAAACGAAAATTGGGAAGAAATATGTGAGATTGAATACGGATAAAAAGAATAAGAAGCTATTATTATTAGGAGGAAGGTGGGAATAGTTTCGATTGCTAAAGAAATTGCACAGAAAAACATATTACGTGCTAAGGTTGCACTTTCCTCACCACTTTAGGTTTATAATGAAAAAAAATTGGAAAAAAAGCTTAGAGACGGTGGAAAGTAAGCACCCACTAATTTGTAGGCCATAACTGGACAGCGACAAAGGAGATGCTCAATTTTCTCCGTCTCCTCCTCGTCAGCACAGAGTCTTCAGTAATCAGTAACATCATGGCCCCTTTTACTGGTAAAGTCCGTGATATTACAATGACCAGTAATGACTCCTGCCATTTCTCTAATTTCAGCTTTGCTCAGGTTCAACAGTGAGTTATTCTCTTGGTTGACAGAGTCGGCCAAATAGATCTTGACACATTGCACCTTGGTTCGTTGTGCCAGAGTTCATTGGCTCGTTCGTCGAAGAACGCCTCAAAGTTCCGAAAAAGATTACATATGGGCGGTTTGATTGAGCAATCGATTGCTAGAAATGCATATTAGGATCCTCGTCTAGCTAATTCGTCTGCTTTTTCATTACCCATGATGTCACGGAGTCCTGGCACCTAACAAAGCCGATAGCTGTTAATGAGTGTTTCCAAAACTGTAATACACTCGAGGAGGTCCTCAAATTTGATATTACAGGATTTGATCTAACAGAAATTTAAAGGGTCCCATGCACTATACATCATGCCGTACAGCATTTATCATAGTATGTGTAATTTTTTAAAGTTTATTTATGTATGTGTGACACACACAATGCATGAAGAATATCAAAATAGTTTTGATTTTGCAAATGAAACCCTTTCAATCTGGTGAATTTTATTCATTTTCAAAGTTGACAGTAAATAATTTTGAGCATACATATATTTAAATTGTGACGAAATAAAAAATAACTGAATTTACGACTCAAATTGTGATTTTTTTGGACAAAAATCATTTTTTGGAATAATGATTGAAGAGTTTGCGACACACTAGTCAATCACACACATATACAAAGGGGTTCATCGGCATGGCGGCATGATGTATAGTGTGTGGGCCCTTAATATTAACTAATATTAAGGACACCCAAAAAAACTGAATAATATAGCCGGGCAAGTGTTGTCGACCCTTAACACAATATATATATATATATACCGTACAACCCTATTCAACGCCGCACGAATCTTTCTCATGACAATATGTATTGGAAGTGATATATTTAGATTGTAAAGCTTTCGCAAACTATGGCAAACCTTTGAAATAATTGAATTTATGTGAACGGAAAAAGAAAGTTTGTCATCCAGAATTAATCCAAGGCATATTCAAATTGTTCACATCCTCAACCGGCGCATTATTCAATGAGATTGTAATAAAATCATTTTTAAAATTTCCAAATAGCATCGATTTAGTTTTACCAGTATTTATGGTGGGATTGTTAAAAGACACCCATGTAGTAGTTTTATCACAAGAAGAATTGACTCCGCTATGTAGAACAGAATTTGGACAACATCAGCAGATGCAAATGAACAACAGTCTCAATAGCATAAAACAGGTCATTAAGAAACAACAAACAGAAGAGGGCCCAGGACGAATCCCTGTGGTACCCCACTTCTGACATGAAGAATATTTGACGTATTTCCCATACAAGAAACATATTGACTCCTACCAGTCAAGTATGAGTATATTAAATTACACTCAGAAGAAGAAAATCTAAACATATAAAACAACCAAAATTGTATGGTCTATTCCCTCAAACACTTTTTCGAGATCTAAAGAAAGTAGGACACAACATTTATTACCGACACCACATTTTGTGATTTAATCAGTGTTACGATTAGGTCGAAATCCCAACTGACTATCATGTGAAAGGGATTTTCCCTCTAAGTATTCTTGCATTTGCAAAATATGTTCATAAACTTTTGATAATATTGGCATGATGGATATTGGTCTATAGCTGTTAGGACAGCCTACATCTTTCTTCAATATTGGAATAACTTTCTCAATCTTTCATGACATCGGAAAAACAGAAGTCATAATTGATGTGTTTATAATATGTAATAAATATTGACGTAGGTTATATCCATCGCTACAGAACTTTCGTCCCACAAGCCGAGCTTAGAAAAGATTTCCAGGCGCGTCGGCCTTTTGCTCAGTTTTTCCAATTTGAAAGACCAATTTCGGTGATGTTGTCTTCGACTTGATCTTTCCAACGTATTCTTGGCCTTCCCCTTCTGCGTGAACCGTCTGCTGGTTCGCTTTTATATGCCTTCTGGGCTGGGGTATCTTCATCTATTCTCACAACATGACCTAGCCAACGTAGTCGCTGCAGCTCAATACGTCTAACAATGTCGATGTCCGAGAATAGCCGGTACAACTCATGGTTCATTCGACGGCGATATTTCCCGTCAACGCAGATCGGCTCATAGATCATTCGGAGAATTTTTCTCTCAAACACTCCAAGAGCTGCTTCATCTGCTTGCGCAAGTGGATTTAATTTTACTAAATGCAAATGGAATTTCATTTATATCAATTGATCGGAAAGAAAATCCACCATAGACATCTTGATGTACAAATGGAACAATGTCAGCAATCGGAAGCTGATGAGAAATGAAACCGTCGTTAAGATTGTCAACATTGAGGTCTATGGGGATATTTTTGGAATTTGTGACACCATGCTTATTTAATAAAGACCATGCTATTGTAATGCCGAACATCCTCTACTGTCTTGAGGTATACTCTGGTGCTAACATGCATAATATGGAGCGAGTTCAAAAGGCTTTTAAGCGTCGTCAGATATGTTTATGGTATTAACCGTTACTATCACATTTCTTCGTTCGTTCACCGTTTTAAAGGATCTTCATTTACTAATTTCGTTAATTTCCGATGTCTTTCTTTATTCTATATAATATGCAAATCTCAATGTCCCTCTTTATTGGCGAGTTCCTTTATTTTTTCAAGATCCACTAGAAACACCAATCTAACAATTCCAAGATTGGACGTTCACATGGACAGATCATTTCTTGTTAGAGTGTCACGTTTATTCAATACACTACCTAACAACTTAAAAAGGTTTAATGTAACCATTTCATCATACCGAAATAAGCTTCTTGTCTTATTTCAAGGAGCAGCAGAATAATATTCTATGCTATATTTATCTACCTTAAAAAATACTTATATTTAGAGGCAGTAATTGCCGCTGATATTATAGTTGGGAGCGTTTTTAGTTTTTATTATTTTTTTTTTCTATGACCTCGCAAGCGAGGTATTAATTGGAGTAGTTCTTCCCTTGTGAAGTGTCATAAGTGTATTTTTTCCTAATTATTTACTTTTAAGTTCTAATAATTTAAATGCTAATTTACAAATTACTATTCGAAGCATATTGTAATAATTTATTGGCTTTTCATTACAAAATAAAGATTTAATAATAATAATAATTTCAGAGGGTTTTTACCATCAAACAGCTTGTCATCAATTTCTCTTTTTATTCTTCAGTAAACACTTTTTGCTTTATTGCGTCACTTGCAATAAACCCTCCAATTGTTGAGCTTTTGTCGTTCAAGTAGGATTTATATATAATCAATAGCATCATAGTCGTATTATTCATAATATGGAGGGGTTATGGGACAAACGATCGTTTCTTAAACAAACATATATCCAGCAACATTAATAACTTTGTTGGAAATGTATGGTTTTACCCAGGTCTCACTTACACCCACAACGCCTAACTACCTGCCATATAAAATATTTTTAATTTCCTCCATCTTCATTGATTTATATAAGTTGAAGTTCTTACAATTAAAATGACCTATATTAACATTGTTTTTTAAATTACCTAATTGTGATTTTAATTATGAGTTATCCTGAGATATGCGATGAGAATTTGAGACAATCATTAAACACAGTAAATTTATAATTAACAATAGCCTACAAGTGCCTATTCAATTCAAGTTAGAAACGTTCATGCTGTTTCTCCATCGAGTTCTAAATTAAGATTTAGAATATCGACATAAGATTCTAATATGTATTAGGCACATTAGCATTGTTAGTATCATTCGTAGATTCTTTCTTCATGCATTGTATTTTATTTTTGTATAAAAACGAATGTTGCTCCTTTGTAATCTTCAGATATTTAATGTGAAAGAATTTATCGCATAAGCAGCAACCAATACTAGATTGGTTAGAAGTAACAGGATCATTACATTTGGGGCAGATGTAGATATGTTTCTTTAGAGGCATTTTTATTTTCTTTGACGTGTCTCATATATATAAACAGGTGGCAACGTTCGAAGTTATTATTTTTGTTTTGTTATTATATTTGTCTGTGTAAGCAGAATTCATAAAATGTAAATAAAAGGTTTCAACATTTATTTATACATTTATTCTCCAAACGACAGCTGATGGATCAAAATCAATTAATAGACATCATCAAAATTTTGATTGCGGTATAGCCGTAAGCTACAACAGAACAACGATTGTTTCTGTGATTACTGCACGCACCGTTCTTGATGTTTTCAAATAAAAGTACGCACGATAAAGAATTTATGAAAATATCTATTAAACTATATTAAGAACACTTTAGACTTCTTAAATTATCATTGTTGATTACTTCAAAGGCTTTAGAAAAACACTTATTTAATTTATTTTTTCCCGGGAGCACATTTATTTTTTAACTGTCCATGACAGAGATGCCAAATTTATGAAATTTTCCAATGTTCATTTGTAGTTCTTATTATTATTATTATTATTTTTTTTTTTTTGAAACTGTATTGCTGGTAATACGTTTTAAAACTAGATTTACGGAGTGAGCCAATTTGAATAATTTTAAATTTGAGCGTTTTATGTTTTATGTCTTAATATTTATTTTTAAAAACATAGCTTGGCTTTCAGTTAAATGATCAACGAAGTTGAATCTTCAGGCAATGAAGATAAAGATCATTGTTACACAGCTTCTAACAAAGAAAGAGGTAGTGTTATTTGCGATGCAATGAATGAAGACGAAGATGCAATGATCCTATTAAAAAGAGCCAGAATTATTTCTGACCGACAACGTCTCTGAAGTAATTTATACAGTTCTCGATAACGAAATAGCTGCTGGTGGAACATTATGGGAAACATTCAACGAAGGTAAACCGTAGTTATTTCACCTATTTATGCCATATTTAAAGACGCTTCAGGTCCAACTGCCAATGTAAAAAGGCATATTATGCTTGATTTAGCAGGTAGCGCATTCATGTTGTTGCTTGATAGATATGGGGGCGTATATAAAATCATGTACCGAACTTGAAGTTCGTCAAGTATTGAATTACAAAGAATGGAAAGTTGCAAAATCACAATTGTGTTCCTTTATAGCAATTTTATTTGCTAGAGGAGCATATGAGACTAAAAATTTAAAGTGCTCATATTTGTGGTCTGAAAGAATGGAAAGTTACAAAATCATCAGAAATACCGAAAAGAATAACCAAAGACTGTGAACGCAAAGAAAAATAAGACGACCCAATTTTATACAAACATGTGTAGATCTGAGAATTGCTCATTTTCCATTTATCAAAGCAAGCCTTAAGTCTGGGAGTATAAAAACAGCATGATGCATGAGCCAAATTGGGTCACTTCCGTAAAACTAAGTATATACCATACAGCCGTACATCTAGTGTTAATATTTAATTTATTATAAAGTTTAAGAAATTGTTGCATATTTTATGATAAGAAAAACTCGACGATATACATACCTGCGGCAATGGCGGCTATAGCTTCAGAAGCAAAATGTTTGACGTCGACATCAGTGTCAGCATTTAATTTTTCCAATGTTGGCTTGACTTGGGAGTCGATAACGCTGCTATCAAGAAAAGGGGAGATTTTCTGTAAGGTCTTTGCTACATTAAAACGAACATTGGAAACAGGATCTGATGCCAGAAGGAGCACGGTTGGCAACAATAACTTAGTGGTAATGTCGGTGCCGCATACTTCAGCCAACATGTTTAAACAGAATAGACAAGTCATTCCTAAAGTAAATAATTGTAATAAAAATCTCTACGTTTTTGTGAATAATTATAATTACTGTGTAAATAATTTTTATTGCGTGACATAACCAAGATCATTGGGATTATAGCCTGTTCTGCCCATTGAGCACCAAACTGTTCCACCAACTTTTTCATGTTGAGTGTAGCCGCTTCTCTTATGGCGTATACATGATCATTCAACCAACCCATACAAAGGCCACGTAGCTTCTGGTCAAAAAATTCTTGACCTAACTGTCCGGCTAAGGCAGGCATATATTCTATAATAGCCAAACGTACACGCCATTTAGAATCTTCGGCTAGTTCCACAATAGCTGGCAATAAGGACTAAAGAAATGGTAAATAGTAAATAGGAACATCGAGTTAGGTACAAACATATATTACTTGTGATAGTTGCTGAATTCCAATTACATCATTTACACAATCCAAATTGGATATAATGTTTAAACGAACTTCTGGACATTCATCTTTTAGCTGTATGAGGAATAAAGGCAGAAGATGCTCAACAGTGTTATAGGCTCCAAGCATTGGACTCAATCCCATTATAACAGATGCTAAAGCTGATTTAACATGAGGATTAGGATCAGACACTAAATCGCGAACATATGGCAAAATCGATGTCATAATAATGTGTACTTGATTGGCCTTATCGAGATTTGCGCAAAAGTCTTTGACTTTTGTTGCAACTGCAGCACGTACTTCTGCTTCAGCGTCTTTTAACAAATACTGTAAAATCGTTTATAAATATATCAAATTACCGATTAAATTAATTGTTAATGCTTACTTGAAATGCAGGGACCAAATCAACTCTAGTTATTTCAGGTCCTACAGCTTTTTGCAGATCAACAAATTTCTCTGCCACCATGTAACGCACACGCCAAGAAGAATCGCTGGCGCATTGGCGCAGTGTAGGCAATACTAACTATCATACAAATAAACGACTGCTAATTTTCACCATTATATCTCAAATACTTACATGTTCAACATCTTCTTGAGGTAACAATTGTGCAATACTCACACAAGCCTCTACAGCTAACAGGCGAACTGAATCCTAAAAAATAAGCATTAATTACAAAGATCGTGAATTGGATTACTCATCAAACCTGATCATCTTGAGCCAATTGAACAAAATTTGGAATAAGGTCAGACTTCAGATATTCTAATTCAACCACTTTTGCAAATTCTCCTAATTTACTTGCAGCGGCGCGTCGTACCATTGGGGTTTCATCCTGGCACAATTTCCTGAAATTAGCTCGTAGCTCTGCTTTAACTGGCTGGGAAACACGAGGATAACATACGGAGAACAGGCCACAAGCAGAAGTGCGTGAGGTGAACCAATCTCCGGAAACTAAACGTTGTAATGTAGGTACAACATGTATTTCAAGATCTTGAGCGCTGTGCTCCGCAGCAACAATACGCAACGATTCCACAGCTTTATCTCGGACCACTGTCTCTTCAACCGTTGCTAAACTCTCTAATGGTGGAATTAAGTACATAGCGTACTCAGGACCCCCAACCAAACCTGTAATTATAAAGAAACATTAATCTAAAAACATATGATGGTTTTCAATGATTTACTAGTAAAGTTGCCTAGTTGGTCCGCCAATGCCAAAAGAACCTCATCTTCATCATATATGGTTTCTGTTAAAAAGGGAATTAGTTCGGATCGAGTACGTTCTTCACCGAGTGCAAGAGCTATTGTTGATAATTTTTTAATAGAGTTTAGGCGAAGCTAAAGATAAAATAAAACAAATTAAAAATTTAAGCAATATCAGTATAGAATATAAAATGTTTCAACTCTTAGAATTGTATTAAATAATGTTTTTATTTAATAATGTACATTATTAAATATGGGGTTTCCTCTTAATTGTTCAATAGCAAACACTAAATAACGATTATAATTATTAAATTTGAATCACTGACCAACTCATTAGACGCACACTGGAATGAGGAAATGGCTTTTTATAAGTAATATTTACATAGAAGGCTTTATTTGGGGATGATTGTAGGTGATATTTATTTGCCTACATATATTTAATGTTTTATTTCGTTATAATGCCGTCCCTTCTTCACTTAAGTCCTTATGTTCGTTTCATTTTCCTTTAATTAGGAATGATGATAACTGAAAATTTTCGGGCATTAACCACGATGCAATTATAAGATGTTATATCAAAACAAAACAGATGTTTTTAATCTGTTCATCTGTCAAATTTATAACTGAGGCGAACAAAAGATGTGTTCGTTTCCCCAATATTTTGAAATAATTTTATAAACATTTATTCGATTTTGACAGTTTTCTGGCTAAATGTAATTTGATTATTAAAATGTTTACAACTTTTTGGCATTGCATACCACCTAACAAAATCTAAAAGTTAAAATGGAGTTAAAATTTAAAATGGATTCCTTTTGCCGAGTTATGGCAAAATAGTTTAAGGAAAAACAGAGATTAACATTAAAGTTTTTGACTACTATTTTTATTATGTATATTAGCTGCGCTTATTAGTGAAATTAGTTCGTTAACTTTTACCAATATTTTCCTTTACTGAGAGTAGAAACGAAAAAGAGAGAAGGAAGAGAAAAAATTGCAAACCGTATACCAAGCCATATTTAATAAGGTAGCCGCATCGGCCCAGCTGTTGGTGCAAATAAATGTCAAAAATGTTATTGAATGTAGAACCAACAAATTAAAAAACAAAATTATAAATGAAAATCTCCGAATTTTGAAGAGCTTGTTTGGCAATACTTTTATTAACATTTTCTACAAGAATTTGTGAATCTGTTTGTTTTGGCAAAATATTTTTGACATATCAAATTACGACAACCGATGTTTGTTGTAGAAATTCTTATACATTTACCTTGCAGTATACGAAGCTTATTAAAACAACAAAAAGTTTGGCAGGAATAAAAATGCATAATTTTGATTAGAAAAATGAATAGCAAGAGAAATCTGTTATTTATATTCTTTGTATTCCGTTTTTTTTTTTTTTTTTGTACGTTCGCATGCCTCTCCCTTTCGTAGGGATCGCGTACACACCATAATCCGCATTATGATGGAATATGAGAAAGGATAGAAAACCAGCAAAACCATTTAAAAATATTATTATATTAGATTTTATTATTTTTTATGAATATAGAATTCATGCAAAAGTCTACGTTAGAATGCATAGAATTGAAATCAATACACGTTTTACTAAGTGGATTTCCCATAGAATAATTTGTGCGATGACAATCTACATATAATGGTTGATAATATCTATTTAATCGAAAAGGAACATTTATTCCAATGAATGAAATTAGGAAGTCTGAGGGTATATTACCGTTTAGTATTTTAATTACCATCATAGTGTTCAACATAATACGTCTACGTCTAATGTAGACAATCGAATTAATTTTAACCTGCTAGTGTAAGAAGGCAACACAAAGTCACTATTCCAATGTAAACCTCTCAGTGCAAAAAGTAGAAATTGTTTCTGCAATGATTAAATTTTATCGGAATATATTGTATATTGGGGATCCCATACAACAGAGCCATATTCTAATATGGGTCGCACAAGAGATGTAAAAGTTTGTTTTGTAATGTAGGGATCAGAGAATTCTTTAGACACCGTGGGCTTTGTTTGCCATAGAAATTACATGATTATTAAAATTTAAATTTTAATAATCAAATTTAAAATTTAATTTTGGATCCATATACTGGCAACGCTATGCCTGAGTAGCACGCGTTTTTTTTTGTTTGGCTGATCATTTTGCTTTAAATTAATTGTCATCAGTGGCCTGCCTGAAGGACTTGACAATTTTATTGAGCCGATTATTGAGCTGGGTTCCTTCTATGACATTCCTATTATTCGTCATGACATCAAACACGCCAAATATATAAATCGTAAAAAATCTGTTTTGGTGAAATTCAATGACGTTTTTATTCGTGATGAGATAATGAGAAGATATTTTAAACATATTAAAACGAAAAACCCATAGTATCCAGCCTTGTGAAATCTGGAATTCCTTCAAATGTCTCCACTGATACACGGATTTATCTTAATGACCACTTTCCGCCTGGGAAGGAGCAGACCTTGCGGCGGTCTCCCTAGCGGAAATCCCAACCAGACGGGTCCTTTCAGCCTGGGTTCCCCCACCTTCTGTGGATAAGGAGCTCCTGCTGAAGATGCTGGCGCTGCAAAACCCCAGCCTCATTACATCGAGTTGGACTGTGGTCAGTCTAACTCCCTGTAGTGAGGATGGCGGTATGGTGGCGAGAGTTGCGGTTGACCCACCGGGAGAGAAATATCTCAGAGATCGTGAGGGGAAACTGAACTTCGGTTCAGGATGGGTTCGGTTTCGACTGAGCACATCCACCGAAACTCAGTAGGAGTGGGGAAGCGGCGTAGGCTGCGCATAATGCAGATCAATCTGCATCATTGCAAGGCCGCAGCAAACTCGGAAGTGGACATTGCCCTAGTCCAGGAGCCATATATTTATAAAAATATGGTTTCTGGACTAAGGAATGCCAACTTTGATATTTTCGCCGCGTCCATGGGGGACAAGGTGTGGACATTGCCCTAGTCCAGGAGCCATATATTTATAAAAATATGGTTTCTGGACTAAGGAATGCCAACTTTGATATTTTCGCCGCGTCCATGGGGGACAAGGTGAGAACATGTATAGTAGGTAAGAAGAGTTTAAATCTAATCTTTCTATCTAATTACAGCAATGGTGACATGTGCACCGTAAGGCTGGAGCACGAGACGGGAAGGGCCACCCTGCTCTCCTCAGTCTACATGCCATTTGAGGAGTTGGACCCACCAGCCACCTGTGTACGAGAGATGCTCGATGAGATGACGAGCACTTGCAACGTTATATTAGGATGCGACGCAAATGCTCACCATTTTCAATGGGGCAGCAAGGACACAAATAAACGAGGTGAGTCCGTTTTCGATTTCATCTTATCCTATAATTTACGTATATGTAATAGGGGTAGTGATCCGACCTTTAAAGTTAGGGATAGAGAGGAGGTCATTGACTTAACCCTCTCAAATCTAGATGACTCCGTCATTAGAAATTGGAGAGTATCTGATGAATGCTCCTTCTCAGATCATTTAAAGATTCTCTTCGAGTACTCTTTTGATGGAGATAGACAAAAGCCTTATCGGAATCCAAGGAGAACAAACTGGGAGAAATTCACGGAGCTAACGAACTCTCAGCTGACTCTTAGCACAAACCTAGGAACAGCTGTGGAACTCAACGGGGCCGTGAAAAATCTAACGGATGTTCTCCTTGGTTGTCATAAGGAATCCTGTCCGCTTACACACCCTGGGAAGAAATCTCGGCCAGTGTGGTGGAACAAGGAACTTGGTGAGCTCAGGAAAGCGACCAGACGACTGTATAACAGGGCGCATAAGTCTAAACTCGACACTGATTGGAACTCCTATAGAGTTAGTTTCAATAAGTACAAGAGTGAGATAAAACGCGCGAAGAAGAAGTCTTGGGTAAATTTCTGTGAGTCTATAGAAGGAGTCAACGACGCTGCTAGGTTTCGAAAACTACTATCCAAGGACCCGAAGTCCATTGGTAGTATTAAGAAGCAGGATGGAGCGTGGACGGACTCAGGTTCTGAGACTCTAAATCTCCTAGCCGAGACTCATTTTCCGGGTTGCAAAGACATGGGTACCATCGACGATGACCGTGATGACACTCGGCCTTTCGTCACTCCGGATCTGGATCTCATTAGCAAGGTGATTAACAGAAATAAGATACGATGGGCGGTCAACACATTCAAGCCGTATAAATCGCCAGGACCGGATGGTATCATACCGGCGATGCTTCAACATGCCTCGCCAAGTATTTATCTGATCCTTGAGAAGATTTACACTGCGTGTCTGACTCTCTCGTATGTTCCGGATCTATGGAACGAGGTAAAGGTTACTTATATTCCCAAAGCAGGGAAGCCAAGTCATTCTGCACCAAAAGACTATAGACCCATTAGCCTATCATCCTTTCTCCTCAAGACTCTCGAAAGACTGATCGATCTGGAGATAAGGAGTCGTATAGACACCACCTCTCTTAGCAATTCACAGCACGCATACATAAAGGGCAAGTCTGTGGAATCTGCGTTGCATGAGGTGGTAGGCTACATTGAGAGGAACATGGAAAATTCAAATTTCACGCTGGCTGCCTTCTTAGATATTGAGGGGGCCTTTAACAACGTTAAACTTGAATCCATAAACCACTCACTTAGGGAAGTTGGCATTCCTGATACCCTGACACATTGGATAGATAAAATGCTTAACAGCAGGATTATAAATTCAAGTGTGGGGAATGCAAAAATCAGGAAAACGGTAACTAGAGGCACACCTCAAGGAGGGGTGCTCTCGCCGTTACTTTGGCTACTGGTTATTAACATCATTTTGAGGAAATTGGACGGGATAGGTACCAAAGTTGTAGCTTATGCGGCGAAGTGGTGATATTGATCTCTGGAAAATTTCCATCTACGATCTCTGAGCTTATGCAAAGAGCCTTACTGACGCTGTCACGCTGGGCCAGGGCAAATGGTCTTGGTGTAAATCCAACGAAGACGGAACTGGTAATGTTCACTAGGAAGCGTAAGCTCGGTGTTTTTGTTCCACCAACATTGGATGGAGTGCAACTTCACCTCTCTCCCGAAGCAAAGTACCTCGGCACAATCCTGGACTGTCAACTACGATGGAAAAGGAACGTTCAAGTGTGGGGAATGCAAAA